TTCTTAATTTTTAAAGGTTACACTCCATTTATAGTTATTATAAAATACTGACTATATTCCCCATGTTGTACAATATATCCTTGTCACTTATTTTATACCTAATTGTACCTCTTAGTTCCCTACTGTTTGTTCTCTAAATCTGTGAGTCTTTTTTTTTTTTTAAATATTCACTAGTTTGTTGTATTTTTTAGTTTCCACATATAACTGATATTATACAGTATTTGTCTTTCTCTGTCTGGTTTATTTCATTTAGCATAATGCCCTCCAAGTTCATCCATGTTGCTGCAAATGGCAAACTTTCATTCTTGTTTTTAATGGCTAACTAGTATTCCATTGTCATATTATACCACAGCTTCTTTATCCATTTTTCTGCTGATGGACACTTAGGTTGCTTCCATATCTTGGCAATTGTAAATAATGCTGCTATGAACATAGAGGTGTGTATATCTTTTTGAATTAGTGTTTTTGCTTTTCTTTCGGGTATATACTCAGGAGTGGAATTCCTGGGTCATATCATAGTTCTGTTTTTTAGCTTTCTGAGAAACCTCCATACTGTTTTCCACAGCGGCTGTGCCAATTTACATACCCACCAACAGTGTACGGGGTTCCCTTTTCTCCACATCCTCACCAACATTAGTTGTTTGTATTCTTTTTGTTGATAGCCATTCTGACAGATGTGAGGTGGTATTTCATTGTGGTTCTGATTTGCATTTACCTGATGATTAGTGATTTTGAGCATCTTTTTGTGTGCCTGTTGACCATCTGCATTTCCTCTTTGGAAAAATGTCTATCCATTTCTTCTGCCTATTTTTAATTGGGCTGTTTGGGTTTTTTGATGTTAAGAAATACAGGGTTTTTTTTTTATTTTTATTGACCTTGTGTTGATATGGTGAGTTACATGATTAATTTACAAACATTGGATCAATCTCACATTTTTTGGATGACTCTTAATTAGAATTGATATATCATTTTTATATTTTTCTGGATTCAATTTAGTAAAATTGTGTTACAGATTTTTGCTTCTATGTTCATTAGGGATATTGCTCTACAGTTTTCTTTCAACATCTGTCTGGTTTTGGTATCAGGGTATGCTGGATTCAAAATATGAGTTGGGAAGTATTACCTCCTCTTCAAGTTTTTGAAAGTGTTTTACAGAACTTGTATTATTTCTTCCTTAAAGGTTGGCAAAATTCACCCTTGAAGCCACGTGGGCCTGGAGTTTTCTTTGTGGCGAGGCTTTTGATGACAAATTCTATTTGTAAATAGATAATCTATCACTAATATCTATTTCTTTTGGATAGTTCGTCTTTCAAGGAAGTTCTCCATTACACTTAAGTCATCAACTTTACTGGCTTAAAGTTGTTCCTAATATTTATTTGTTGTCCTTTTAATGTCTTAAGGATCTTTAGTAATATCTCCTCTATTGTTCCTGATACTGGTAATTTATATCTTCTTTCTTTTCCCTGTAATCAGTTTGACTAGAGTTTTCCCAACTCTATAAATCTTTTTAAAAAACAGCTTTTTGGTTTCACTGTTTCTTCTGTTGTTTTTGTTTCCTGTTTTGTTGATTTCTGCTCAACTGTTCTCGTTTCCTTTCTTCTGCTCACCTTTGGATTTAATTTGCTCTTCTTTTTTAGTTTCTTAAGACAGAAGCTTAGGTCATTGATTTTAAATGTTCATACCTTTCTATTAAAAGTGCTATACATTTCTTTTAAGCACCCCACAACTTTTGATATGTCATGTTTGCATTTTCTTTTAACTCAGAATATTTTCTTAATTCCCTGTAATTTCTTCTTTGGTCCATGGGTAATTTAGAAAAGTGTGTTTAATTTCTAATTATTTGAAGATCTTCAAGGTATCCTTCTGTCATTAATTTCTAATTTAATTCTGTTGTGGGCAAAGAACATGCTTGGTATGATTTGGAAACTTTAAATTTATTGAGATATGTTTCATGGCCAAATGGTTTATTTTGATCAAGACCCCATGGACATTTGAAAATCATGTGTATCACGCAGTTGTTAGGTGGAGTGTTCTATAAATGTCAGTTAGGTCAAATTGGTGGATAATGTTGAATAAGTCTTCTGTATCCTTACTGATTTTCTGCCTACTTGTTCTTTCAATTATTGACAGAGAAGTGCTGAAATCTTTAGCTATAATTATGCATTTGTCTATCTTTTCCTTTCTGTTTGATTAGTGCTGGAGCGTAGGGTTTCCTTTTTATTTTAACTTTGCAGCTGAATCAAATGTGCAGCCAGAGTTAAGGAACCACTAGTTCTCAAACTTTAGTAGGCATCAGAATTGCTTAGGGGGCTTATTAAAATGCAGATTGCTGGGTCCTGCTCCCAGAGTTTCTGATTAAGTAAGTCTGGAGGAATTTGCATTTCTCATAGTTCTCACGTGTTGTTGATGTTGCTGGTCCAGAGGCCACACTTTAAAAATCACTGATTAAACCAAAGTTTCTCAACCTTAGTTGCATGTTAGAATCACCTGAGGAGCTTTGAAAATTATGATAACGCAGACTACATTCAGACCAGTTAAATTAGGATTGGCACAAGGAAAGAGGAATTAGTGGGACCCAGGCATCGGTATCCTTTAAAGCTCTCCTATGTGATCCTAATAGTCCAGACTGAGAATCACTGCTCTAAAGTTATGATCCAGATTGCCCAAGAAAGTCTTTGGGGCTCATTACCAACACTTCATCCATTTCGCCTGAGTGAAAAAACACTGCAAAGTACCAGTAAGCAACAGGTTGTGTGAATGATCTAGTGTACTGAGGTAGGAACCTCTTCCTCTGCTGTCACCTAGCACATTCCTCTTTTGTAAAATGGAGCCAATAGTTCCTGCCCATATCCTAGAATGTAGAAGGGTTCTGACAACCAATAACATTCCTTTATCATCGGGAAAAATTCCATTAACTAAATATATTTAGAAATCAAAATAATATTTAATCTAATGATACTTATTTTCCATAATTGAGTTTTATACATAGTTTATTTAGAGAGAAAAATTGACTAAAAATTATCCAATTACCCTTTATCCTACCTAATAGTTCCAGGGGAATTCATATGTAACAGAGGTATACTCCAAATATCCTTTAACAGTTGTGCCAACAATTAAGTCATTAAACAACAATCTTTTAATCTTCCATTAACCTTCCCATTTTCCTTCACTTCATCCTGCACAGGGACTTTGACCAAAGAGAAACAAATTCTGATGGAAGAATTACGACAAACAGTGCCAGCACTGGAATACAGCAGTAACCCAGCCTTCTTTTTTTCTTCTCCTTTCCCTCCTTTTTTTTTTAATTTTCATAGTAATTTTACCCAAGTTATAAATCATGTAATTAAAAAATAATCATATGAGACAGGCAGAACAGGTATTACTGTTCATATTTTTCAGCTGAGAAAACTAAAGCAGGCACAAACTAAAGATTGCACAAGGAACTAGCCTATAACACAGGTTCTCTGGCTGCAGAGACAAAATTTTCTCCAAATGAGGGGAAGGAAAACTGGGCATAAATGTAGAAAGAAAAACCAGGGATCTTCAGACAGCTGCAGGAGCCACCTTAGAGATTCACTAGGCAAAGGGCCACTGTGGGCAGAAGGGAATATTTAGAGATGAAGTCATCTAATCACAGTCATTTTACAAAAGAGGAATCTGGCTTGCCCTAGGCAGCTAGAAAAGCCCTGTGCAGTGAAGAGTCTAGGACTGCCTGGCAGGAGACCTGAGTTCTGGCCTCTTGTGCCACTAAGCTTCAGACCAACCCACTTAGACATTAACCTAACAGACATTTGAAATTGGATGTCCCACAAGCATTTCAAATTCAAGTCCAAAATTATTTCCCCTCCCACACCAATCATCCACCTCCTCCATCTCCAGTGGTGATCATTCAATAAAGGGCCCAGAGCAGGATCCTGGGAATCATTCCTCTCTCTCTCCCGTCCCCTCTCAGTTATACCAGATTCTGCTATGAATCTTCATATCCACCACTACCTCCTGCCTGTTTCTTCTGCCACTGTCTAAGCTCAGGCCCTCACTATCCCTGCCTGGGTTCATCTACTACAGTTGTCTTAACAGGTCTCCTGGCTTACACTCTTGCCCTGTTTCAACCCATCTGCCACACTACCTGCCACCACAAAGAGCTTTCTAAAACAGAAATTGTCTGTCACTACTCTTTCCACCACCAACTAAATGGAGCCTAAAGTTCCAAGCAGGACACCCCAGTCTATTTGTGATCTGGCCTCTGCCTTTTTCTCTCACTTCATTTATCACCACTTAAAACATCAGCCAAGTTTTGCAGTTCCTTCAATGTCACCTTTGGCTTTGACACTAATGGTTCACTCTTCCTGGAAGTCTCCCCCTTCCCCTACCCATTGCCTGGCTAAAATTAACTCAGCCTTCTAGACTCAGCTTAGGTTGAAATTTTCCTGGCACCTCTTTAAATGTCCCTTTAATACTACCATAGCATCTTGTGCAAACAAAAGTGTCACTACTTACCTTGAACTGTGTTTGCTCACACATCTGTGTCCCTCACTAAACCCTGAGCTGTGGGGTGGCATTCTATTCAGTGTTTGGTACTGAATATTCATCCAACAAATATCTGAGGACCAACTTTATGCCAAATGTTGTAATGGATACAGCAGTGAACAAAGTAAAGATACTCTTTGCTATCAAGTGACAATCAACATCATAAATAAACAAATGAAGAAATTTTTAAAAAGCAAAAGAATAGGAGAGTGGAAAGTGCTATGCAGAGAATTAAAATAAATCATGTGATGTGAAAGTGACTACTTTAGATTGGGTATACCAAGAAGTTCCCTTTGAGGAAGTGACATTTAAGCTGGTAGGTAAATGCCAGCATGCCAGGTATTCAGAGAGAAGAGCACTCCAGCAGGGAGGTCTATGGATACAAAGGCCGGAAGAACCAAACGCGCGGCTCACGTGGCTTAAAGCAAGAGTGGGAAAGTAGTGAAGATGGGGTCAGAGAAGAAGGCAGGGACCACATTATGTAGACTTTGCCGGCCAGAGTAGAGTTTTGATGTTGTTCTAAGTGTGGTTGGGAGTGACATGATCTGATTTACATTTTCAAAAAGATCTCTATTACAGGTACGTGAATGATGGGCTGTGGGGAGTGGAGACCGAGACCACTTTGGAAGAGAAACATCGATGGCCTGGACAGCTGTTTTGGAGAAGGTGGGCGGATGTGAGATACATGTGTGAGAGTGGTTAGGACTGCTGATGAGCAGATGAATAAGACTCAGGGCATGAAGATTTTTGACTTGGGCACAGAACAGGCGCTCCGCGGCTAACAGGAGGAAGAAGGCCATGAAAAAGTCCCTCTTCTGATTCAGGGACAGTTCAGGT